TCCCTGTGCTTTTCCTATATATGGTCATATGAAGGTCCTTTAAATCCATTGATCTTTAGGTCTCAATCTCATTTGATGACTTCTATGTTCTCATCTAAAAAGGGGGCTTTGGTACAAAGACTTTGAGATTATAATTGTACTCACTTGCTTCCCTGATCGATTGATGAGCAGTTGCATTTATCAAGACTCTTGAGCAAACTCTGCAATGGACCGAAAATATAGCAAGGTAAGATCATTTAACTTATACTGTCTTTTCCACTGTCATTTATTTATGTTTGGTCTAGAGCTCAAATACATGGTCATAGACTTTGTTGAGTTAATGCATCACAACTGGTACTTCTGAMATCCAGTCGGCCATATTAATATAAACTGTACTTCTACAAATTAAATATAAATGGGACTTGGTTTTAATAGGATATGCATGAATTTTAGATGAGGTTACATGTCACTCTTTCAATATGTTGTGTTAAGGTGGGACAGTAGTTTTAATCATGAATTCCATGTATGTGTTATTTTTCAGGCCCCTAATGGAGCCCAAATYATTTCATTGAAGCTGTCAACACTGGAGCAAACAAGGTTGGCTGGCTCCAAACGGAAAAGGGAAATCGAGGAAGGCAACGAGCCCATGGAGAAGAAAGCTCGTGGAGAGYTTGCAGATCTCTCTCATGAAGAGCTGTCCAGGATCTACCTGTCCAGTAAGAGGCTGGAGCAATGGTGCCACACCCCGTTCTTTGCCACCACTGTGACTGGCTGCTTCATCAGGGTAACTAATGACAGCAGCAGCGACCCAGTTCACTGTGTCACAGAAATTGTGTCTGTGGTGGAGGAGAGGCAAGCCTACCAGTTTGGATCCACACGGACAAACCTGGCATTGAAACTCAGGCACGCTGGTATAGAGCAGATTGTGTCTCTCAGGTGTGCATCAAATGAGAAATTCACAGAAAGTGAGTTCAAGCAGTGGACACGGGCGATGATGGATGCTGGGATGCAAGTCCCAACTACAGATAGAATCACAGAAAAGGAGCAGGTCATCAATGGAGCCCTGTGTCATACCTTCACTGAGAAAGATATTGATTTTATTGTGGAACGGAAGAACAGATTCCGAGTAGCACCTCTGAATGTTGCCAAGAGGAAAATTCAATTATTTCAAGAACGGGACATGGCAAGAATGCACGGAGACACTGAGAGGTTGAAAGAGATCCTGGAAGAACTGAAAAAGTTAAACGAGGGCACAAAACAACCTGAAAAACCGAAGATGACGGAGGTAAATCTGAAGATCAGACCCTCTACCGTTGTTAAGTCCAGGAGAAGAGCCCCTCCAAAAGCACAGGCTGACCATTATCAGGGAATAGGCCCTTTCATCCGGAGAAGGACCAGACCAATCATGTTCACAAKACTTAAAAACAACCCAAAACTCTGTGAAGCTATTTACGCTGAGCTCGACCGGAGGTACGGCGGTGGATCCACATCAGAGGACACCAGCTCTGTTTGAGGACTGAGCAGGGTTATTATGTTTAAAGAAAACTAAGACTAAAACTAAAACTAATACTAGCAATGAAAAAATAATTGAGTTAACTGAAATAAAAAAAGACGACAATTACAAAAAAAACCGAAAACTAAATAAAAACTACAATAAACAATGCAAAACCAACTCAAACTAAACTGAATTGCAGATAAATTCAGATTTGTTTTCTCCCTCGATTACTGCCTGTCCTGCAGGTGATGGTTAAAGAATAAAATTGAAGGACTTGATAAACCATATTTGGTGTCACACATTGTTTCATCCTTTTTCAGCTTCTACAAGTCAAGGCTTTCTCTTAATACCTGGAAAAACTAAAACTAAATAAAAACTAAACTGAAACTTGTTGATTACTCTAAATAAAAACTAAACTAAAAGTATAAAATCACTTGTTGAACTAACAAAAACTTAACTGAAATAAATAAGCAAACTGAAAAACTAAATACAAATAAAAACTAATGAAAATTTCAAAACTATAATAACCTTGGGACTGAGCACCCCCCCCAACCCTGCCACCTCCTAATAATGTAATAGCAGCATGGATGAGAGTCAATTCCTAGAAATGAAACTC